GGGCTAGTGCACTGCAGAATGTGATACCAGTGTGGCGCAATCTGCTTATGAGTTGGGTCGACTTATAGCTTATCATGTTTTCTCACATTATAATTTCAGAAAGTGCTAAGAGATGCATACAGTGGTGTCAGAAATAAAGAAAAACATCGTACTTATTTTTATTCAGTTTCCTATAGCATTTTGTTGGCTTCTGTTGCCATGTTAGCTTCCTTGACTTTCACTGCTTCGGCAGTCAACCAGATTTTCCTGCGGTATCCCAACGATATTAAGAAGTTCGCTTAATTCAAACGCTTCGTCTTTAACATCCATACTGATGTTTCGCTGTCTTTGCATCGCATGTTACATTATTCACAGCACAGCTCAGCACTTCTCGAGTATAGAGTATACATATAACCTCTTGTCTCGGGGTTTCTATCGCAGGTCTTACCTCTTGGGAGGTGTTTGCTGATTCTTTTGATGTACATCGGGTTGCACCATTTAGCCCGTCTTTCCTGCTTTTGTAACGCATTGATCTGGTGACCTCATAATTTTCCTGCTCTTCTGGAATGTTTCTCTCTCCTTCTTGTATTTCACTATTGTTATTCATGCTTCATGGGTTCAAACTGTAAGTCGCTATCTCCTAACATATAATCTGTTAAATTCCGGATGGAATAATGGAAAGAGTACCATCACCTTCGACTATAGTAAGACAAGGAGGATTCCTCGCGTGTAAGACTGTAAGACTTGCTTGAGAAGATTGTCCTTTTGCACGTGGCTTTGAATAATCTTTGAATTTATTGATGGAGAGGAATTTATCTAAAATGTGGTATTGCCGTTTACCTTTCTTACCACACTTGTGACATACGGCATCGCGAAACTTGCAATTCTCACTGGCCTGATTGTGTCCACAAACGGAACTTTCACTGTTTGCTGGTTTCTTTATGTAAGTGAGAATCGCATTGATTCGATCTCGTTTTTGCATATTTTCTTTAAAGGCTGCAACGGACTATGCAGTTGTCTCATAGGTTTCTCCAAATATGAGCATATCTTCAAGAGTTGACTGGTACTTTTGAAGAGCAGATTCGCGAATGGCATCATATGGCGTAAGCAGCAAGCAATGTACTATCACATAGTTTTTTGTACAACCATTTCCATTACATACAAATTGACATTCACAGTCACAGTCCCTGGCGAAGCGATTTTTTCCATTATTGCTTGCATCCAGTTCATTTGTTGTTTCAGAATTGTTGATGTTAATTCTTGCTGTTGGGCAAGGATTCTTTGGATAAAGCTCTCATCTGCCGGCATCTTTATTAGATCAACCACTATACGACACGACTTTACACAAGAAAAGTCTTATTCTTGAGGCTGATATTTTTCTTTTTGCCGCGACGAAAATTATTTTTGTGTTTTAGTTGGGTTCTTATTTCAGATTGAGTTTACTTGTGCTATATGTTGTGCAGAGTTGACAAAAGGTTTCATTATAAGAATGTGTGTGTAAGTGCAACGGAAGAAAATGAATCTGATGTAAGACAGCTTACTAAAAAAGTTGACAATAGGGCCTCGGACGTGACATCCTGAACACTTTAACATTCAATATAAGTGTGAAAAAGTAGGCTTCTTATTTTTTTTTAACTTTTGTTTAAAAAAACTCCTAATCATCTCTAACAATGGTAAAAAATTAAGCTAAATATGTCCTGTAACTTCTAAGAATTAAAAAAATACATGAATTTCAGACGAGACAAAAATTGAATAGCAACTTACAAAAAATGATAAAAGGTCTGCGAATCTGGGTGGAGTTTTTTTAAATGAAAATAGATTTCGGACGCGACATATTGCTACTAAATATAAAATTGCAATTTTTTTCCAAAATGATTCAAAAATAAATTTTAATTTATTTAAATTCATCATGTTTTTTTTTTAACAATTACTAATTTTTTGTTAGTTTTGTTATAGTTTTGGTTTTAAAGCATGAAACGTCAATTTAACAAATGTCGCTAAGAATATGGTTAGTCTCATCGATTTGTATTTAAAAAAAATCCCGATTTCGGGCGTGACAGACTTTAACTAGGAACCTCTTTTAAGGCAAAAAGGCACAGATGTGTTTGGTAACCATTGTGGTAGCAAAACAAAAAAAGGTTTTTGATTTTGGAAGCGACGTTCTAAAATAACAAAAGTTAAGCTCAAAATTGGCATAAAATTGATTTATTTTTTAAGTTAAAATGGTCATGTTCAATACAGCTCTTGCTGGCATATTAAGATTTTTTCGGGACCTGAAGTTGGTCGATGACATGCCCTCTTGCATGCATTCCTCTTGTATGTCCAAGAAACATATCCCCTGATTCATATATAAATCCCCTCAGTACCTCGGAGTTGTTTTTGCCTATTGAGGGCTTGACCAACACTTCTTCTGACTTGGATTGTATCCGAACCTTGGACTTTCCTCCCATCTTCTCAGGTATAAACCTTGCTGGTCATTTTCCCGATATATGCTCCCACCTAGTCTTCTCTGCAGATGTTCTTTGTTTGCCATCTCGGAACTTCCCTCTGCTGTCAACTTTTTCTCGTTCTCTAGCTAGGAGATCAATCCGTATAATTCCCGCGGTGACCAATGCTGCTGGTGTAGATACCGTTCTTTATGCGGTTATTATCCTTGATGCTGTTGTCCTTTATATCTCGAGTTTCGGGTTTCAGTTTGCAGCTTATCTGCCCATACCTTACATCCTTTCATCAGGATTGCGTTATTTACCTCCATTAGCAATTCCGTTTTGATTGGGTTGGTCCGCCTATATTTGCCATGAGTCTGCTTAGTGATTTTGCAGTGTTTGTCGCTCGGCTACTTGGGCGCTGTATATGTGCCTTCAAAGTCAGTTTTGACTTAAGCCAAACTCCAAACTTCTAATGATACATTCTCCTACTCTCATGCCTATTTCTAGGGGAAATCCGTTGAACTGGTACTAGCAGCAACTCGGTTGCAACCTATAAGCCTTTAGACTCCATCCATCCATTAACACAAAGCATCATTTCATTTAGCCTATGCTGTTTCGGTCTGAAATACCAACACTATCTGCATATCCCTTTAGTGCCGCGTCTTCTGGCATTTCTATACGCATTATTTCAGGTCCCAGTGTAGAACCTTGGGCGGCTCCTGATGTTATCTGCATACATTTTTCATATTTTTTTGTTCGGTACAGATGCTTTCGATTTCCGAGGTAGCTCTGCAGTATTATTTACAGATATCCTAAGATTCCGAATCGGCTTTCTAGTGGTTCAATCATATTCGCCCATTTCACACTTTTAAATGCTAATAATGTTAAGACATCCGAAGAAGCTAAGTGTATTATAGGTCTCGAAACGTGATTATCTTGTTGGCTTCGTAGTGCCTCATGATCCACCTCTTGAATAGCTCTGATTGTGGACCTCCCTGGTCTAAACCCAAATTGTCATGACTGTCATTGCTAGTCGCGGCTTGAACATCATCTCCTGTCGTGTTCAACATACTTATAGGATTGCCTTCAAAAGCTCAACAGGTTTATTAAGTTATCAGTCCCCGGGGCTCTCCTACTTTTTAAGCTTTTTGAGGCCCTGTCAAGTTCATCTTCTAAAAAAAGGTAATATCCGCTGCATAATCAGAACTAGTTGTTCTCGCAGGTCTGATCTGATGAGCAGGATATAGTGTTTTGACTATCTCATCTGTTCTTCCTGTAGTTCCGGCAGGGGAACCCTAGACCTAAGTTTCTTCATTAAGTTAACGTCGTTACTGAGGGATTTTCACTTACAAATTTTATACCTTCTGATAGCAACATTCTCGTCCTTCGGAGTTTTTTTGATTATTGATTAGAGCTGTTTTATTTAAACGACAGACGTTCCATCCTCTGTTGTCTTGGCCAGTAAGATTTTAGGGACGATGTTGTTCTCTTGCTACCAGTTTGATCGATATGTACTCGTGGTCGCTTCCATTAAAGGTATTCAAAACTCCATTGACTAGGGTTATGTCTGAAATTTTACACGCATTTCCTATTAGACTAAATGTAGCGGTTGAGCCTGTGTTTACAGTTACCATCCCTAGTCTCGCCGCCATGTCTAGAAATCTTCTTCTTCTGGAGCTGGTTGATGCCATGCCCCAATCTTCCGCTCTTGAATTAAAGACTCCCGCTAACAAACTTAATTGGCAGCGTCTTCAATAACGTCAAGATTGCTTTGGAAGGTCTGTATGTCCGCAGAGGATATCAAATTATTACTTATTACTGTCCAACTGGACGTTGGCGAAACTAACAATTACATTCCCGAAAGCCGTTTCTGAAAGATCTCACTCTCGCTTCTAAAGGTGTCATGCCCGGGGTCATAAAATAAAAAAAATGTGTGCGCAATCGTTAGTCTAGTTTCATTTTTAGTGTCCGCGGGTGTGTCAAGCCCGTCAACCATCTAGGGATGCCCCTGCGGGTATAAAATTAATTAATAATTTTTAACTGTTGAAACGCTTACGAAATTTTGCTTTTTTCATGTTTTTGACTAAAGTAATGGTCTTATATAGTTTCGGAAACATCCCTTGACTTCAGCGGAATTCAAACTTTGGGTTGCCGAAAAGTTTAAAAACGTTTTAATATACAAAAATTTAACATGGTATCATAAATAACAAAGTTAGCAGCATGAAATATTAGTATAATAGGACTTAAATAACTATTTTTCTCAAACAGGTAGCAGTGTTTTGTATTCTGAGCCTGGCGATATTTGTAGTTGGTTCGTTTAATCCAAGAAATTGAACAAATTGAATTTTTGAAAACCGTTATGTCTGTTAATTACTTTATTTAGGGTTTCATAATGCTTAATTGTGCTTCAATGTTTTCATATATTGTATATGGAAAAATCGGTGCTGTTGGTAGAGTTGGAATCCATAATCCTTGTCTTTGCGCTATTTTTAACCGAGATGCCATCTGTTTTTTCCATTTTGTCCGGCGATTTTGAAACCATGTTTTTATTTGAACTTCCGTCAAAAGAAGAGATCTCGAAAGTTCAACACGTTTACTAACGCTAAGATATTTGTCTATAATGAATTCTTTTTCGAGACGATCCAACTGAGAGGCATTATAGGCTTGGCGAGGCTTTCTGTCAGTAAGCTGATATTTAAATTGATTTCCTTTAAGCAAAGGGTAAATATTTAGTTGAATTTTAATTAGAGACATATTAATTAATTTAAATATAATACCTTGAAATTTTATCGGATTAGTAATATGAGCTGGAAGAACATTTTTCGATTGGCAATCAGAAGAGGACCCATTATTCATATCATTTGTCAATGGTAATTGAGGGCAGCTTCCGTTTTTTAAAGCAATATTTTCGTATAATATCTTCTTAATTTGAATTTGCTGAATCGAGTGGAACGCTTCAACATCTTTAGATTCGCCTAAAAATATACAACATAATATTCTTAATAAGGTAGATTATTAATTAATTGAATTGTTGCTTGTTGATGGAAAAAATATTTTTTTTTATATTCATTTATTGCTGTTAAACCATTATTTACTTAATTCTTTAATAAAATTTTTAAATTTTACTTTATAGATCAACCGATGGCGGCTTCAATCCAAAAGAGACTTTTTGAACGTCGACCCGACAGGGGTTTATTTAAAGTAGGATTCGTTTTTCTTGACCAAAGCGATTGGAAGTTGAAACTTTTTTTCCAAAGTTGTTGAAAGTTAAAATTGAAAACTTGTTTATAGACTGGGTAAAATTAATTTATTCATAGGTTTAATTACTATTACATACAAAAAACTATCTTAACAAGAAAGAAAGCAAACTTCGGCAAGCCGAAGTTCATATACCCTTGCAGCTATTGCAAGAATTTAACATTTTTGAAAACATTAAAATTATGATTTACTGCGTATATGTTTTAAAATATTGAAGCTATGATGATTAGCAGCTCAATTATTTGATAGTTACTTTATATATTTTTATTATTTCTATGGGAGCTATATGATATAGACGTCCGATTTTGATAAAATCTAAACCATAATTCTGAAATATTTAACCATTGCTATATGTCGAAGAACTGAACAAAAAATTAAAAAACAGAAAAGTTATCATTTTTTTCCTTTATTTTTCCGATTGTTCCTATGGGAGCTATATGCTATAGTCGTCCGATTTTGATATAATTTAAACCGTAAATCGAAAATATTTAACCATTACTAAATGTCGAAGGACTAAACAAAAAATTAAAAAACAGAAAAGTTATAATTTTTTTCATTTATTTTTCCGATTGTTCCTATGGGAGCTATATGCTATAGTAGTCCGATTTTGATATAATTTAAACCGTAAATCGGAAATATTTAACCATTACAAAATGTCGAAGAACTAAACAAAAAATTAAAAAACAGCAAAGTTATAATTTTTTAAATTTATTTTTCCGATTGTTCCTATGGGAGCTATATGCTATAGTCGTCCGATCCGGCTCGTTCCGACTTATATACTACCTGCAATAGAAAGACAACTTTTGGGAAAGTTTCATACAGATAGCTTTAAAACTGAGAGACCAGTTTGCATATAAACGGACGGACAGACGGACAGACGGACATGGCTAGATCGACTCTACTAGTGATGCTGATCAAGAATATATATACTTTATAGGGTCGGAGATGTCTCCTTCACTGCGTTGCAAAATTCTGACTGAAATTATAATACCCTCTGCAAGGGTATAAAAAGCTGATAACCAGACAGTAATTCTGGGATAAGCTATTACCAGAGATAGCACTCACCATTAATTCTAGTGTATCAGACTCTATAGGATGAAGCCCTGCCTTCCTAACCCAAGGACAAGAACCTGACTACCCGCCATGCTGTATGACAATGTTACCCCCGGATCGGCGGTGGAAAATAAGGATCCCAAAGGCAAAGCGTGTCAATCAAGGGGAATCTTTGAAATTGTCCGGACTAACCTGCAACAGGCGTCCTAAGAGCAAGCGACGCTGGGAGTGGAGGCACAAACTTAGGTATGGCGACGGCAACACCCTCTTTCGAAGGCAGTCAAAGGCTTCGCTGCCAAGTTGGCCCCCAAATATGATGGCTCCTACATCGTCACGTAGCACCCAGGCTTCGATCCCCACGCCTGACGAGACCGTTAAACCGAACCCTAAACGTATCTGTGGAAGCGTGTATTTCGCGGAATACGAGACCGAAAGCGAAGATGGCGTGGACGACGGTTAAATCTTCATCAGCACTCGGCTGGCAAGAGGGGGAGGGGTGTAACGACACAATCTAATCGATAGGCCGTCATACTTTTCTTCCTGGATAATCTTAATGTTATTTTAAGTTATGCCACACAGAGTCCGTTATTAAAGATATTTTTAAGATTAAAACGAAACTAGATTCACATAAGTTGGGTTCCGAACCACGGGGTGGCTACGTAAAACACTAGAAAGCCAAATTATACTAAACGATCTTGGAGGAGGGAAGAGAGGGAGAGAAGAACGCAGTCACATTGACACTGCGGCTTCCTGTTTCTCCGGGACTTGAACGAGATGGTCGCCAGACCCCCAATAAGTCCCAGTAGGGTAGACGAACGGATATACCCATCCTAAATCAACAAAGTTCAATATTAACCCATGAAGATTCCGACTACGGCCTCACCTGAAGGTTAAGTCCATGGAATTTTTGGTTCGTAGACAAACTCTGTACCCTCTGTACGCGTCCCCTCTTATTAGTTAACTAATTTTTCTAAGCTACAAGAAACAAGACTGCGTCCCGCCCGAAAGTTCAGCCCTTTGGAATTTTGTCTCGTGGAAGGCAGAATACGCGAAGACAAAGTTTCTCTGCGTAACAGTTTGAAGCGTGCGGACCCCATAACTACTCTAAATTTCCACGGTAGCTTTCCCTTTCAGGTTCGGTTTAAAATCACCGTTCACTAGATGAATACAATATCTTGTCTTCGGTTTATAAATTGCCCTATTTGGGTTTTATTTTATCTATTTAAACTTTTCCATCGGCAAAAAGAAGTGGCCATTCTCTTGGGTATATTACACAAGTCGGCATAATTATTTTGACGCAACTCTTTTTTGACTATTGAACTTAGCGTTGCTTGAAATAGTCAAATAACGGTGCGAAAATAAGGCGCAACACAAAGAATATATTTTCAGCTATCTGCATGCCAAATATTATTTCTTTTACCTTTTGCATTCACTTTCTACTGATAAGAATGCATGCAGACAACGGTTTTATGCGTGGCACAAGTATTTTGACATCATCTTTATGAAAATATTTTCACACTTTTAAGCACGCGAGAATCAACGAACTTCTGTGTTTAACTTTGAGTAATATTAAACATTGTTATTAAAACAGAAAGTTATTAAAAATTAGTGAATAACATGGATAAAATGGCTGAGCCAAGTTTGGTTACCAGATCTTCAATAGTAGCAAAGCTTAACGCTGGAATAGCAGCCAATGTGTCGCGTCAAACTGAGCACTACCAAATTAAAAAGTTTAAAAAGCATAATGACGTGCGTAATTTAAGAAGATCGGGTACTAAGCGCAAAACAGATCTCAGTGAACACCGAGTTTTTGTACGGGAATTTAAAAAGAATATTTTTTAAAAGCCCCAATCCGCAGCATATCAATTTAATATTACAGCTAAGACACCAATTAGTGAGCGCGCAGTCCGTCGACGAATAAAAGAATGCGATTTCAAGACTTATAAAGCCAAGGACGTACCATATATAACAGAAAAAACAAGCTTAAAAGACTGTCTTTTCCAAAGGAACTTCTTTATAAGCCAAAGGAGTTCTGGAGAAGCGTTCTATGGACAGATGAAAGCTCCTTTGAGTATAATTCATCAAAAATAAAATTTTTGTAAGATTACCAATGGTACAAAGGCAGAAACGGCGGCCCGTTTGCCAAAAAGTAAGCCATGGTAGAGGCTCTGTGATGTTCTGGGGATGTGTGGCGTATAATGGACTGGGTGACCTCGATCCTGTCACTGGCTCGATGAACCAAGGCCAGTATTTGCGGGTTCTAAATGATAACGCGTTTAGTTCCGAAGACAGGCTTATTGGACACACCTTCATTTTGCAACAGGATGTCGCCCCATGCCACAAAGCCAAGATGATTACAACATTTTTGAAGGATGTTGGTGTTACCAACATAAATATAATTGAAAACGTCTGGTCTTTTATAAAACGTAAAAGAACAGTGCCGTTGAATAAAACCAGAGAGGAGACTATTTCTGAGGTCACTTCCCTTTGGGAAGAGATATCTCTAGAGGTTATCCAAAATTTGGTCGATTCAGTACCGCGACGCTTGCAAAAAGTTGTTGAAACCAAAGGAAATAATATATTTTACTAAATATTTTTTTTTCCTTTGGTTTTTTTATACCCTTGCAGAGGGTATTATAATTTCAGTCAGAAGTTTGCAACGCAATGAAGGAGACATCTCCGACCCTATAAAGTATATGTATTCTTGATCAGCATCACTAGGCGAGTCGACCTAGCTATGTCCGTCTGTCCGTCCGTTTCTACGCAAACTAGTCTCTCAGTTTTAAAGCTATCTGCATGAAACTTTCCCAAAAGTTGTCTTTCTGTTTAAGGTAGTATATAAGTCGGAACGAGCCAGATCGGAAGACTATATCATATAGCTCCCATAGGAACAATCGAAAAAATAAATAAAAAAAAATTATAACTTTGCTGTTTCTTAATTTTTTTTTTAGTTCTTTGGCATGCAGTAATGGTTAAATATTTCAGAATTACGGTTTAAATTTCATCAAAATCGGACGACTATATCATATAGCTCCCATAGGAACAATCGGAAAAGAAATACAAAAAAAATTATAACTTTACTGTTTTTTAATTTTTTGTTTAGTTCTTCGACATATAGTAATGGTTAAATATTTTAGAATTACGTTTTAAATTTCATCAAAATCGGACGAATATATCATATAGCTCCCATAGGAACAATCGGAAAAGAAATACAAAAAAAATTATAACATTACTGTTTTTTAATTTTTTGTTTAGTTCTTCGACATATAGTAATGGTTAAATATTTTAGAATTACATTTTAAATTTCATCAAAATCGGACGACTATATCATATAGCTCCCATAGGAACAATCGGAAAAAAATACAACAAAATTATAACTTTGCTGTTTTTTAATTTTTTGTTTAGTTCTTCGACATATAGTAATGGTTAAATATTTTAGAATTACGTTTTAAATTTCATCAAAATCGTCTAGCTCCCATAGAAATAATAAAAATATATAAAATAACTATCTAATAATTGAGCTGCAAATCATCATAGCTTCAATGTATTTCAGCATATACTCAAGAAAATCATAATTTGAATGTTTTCAAAAGTATTTAATTCATGCAATAGCTGCAAGGGTATATGACCTCGGCTTGCCGAAGTTTGCTTTCTTTCTTGTTAA